TGAACATTTTGCACAAAAAAATAATTGTGAATAATTCTAAGGTAACACTTTCAAATACTTTTGTATTTATATAAATCTTTTTGTTCTAAATAGACACTCTTATGTTTCATGAATTGTCTATATGTTTTAATAAAAGTTGTTTGTTCATTTGAAAAATGAGAATTAAATTGTTTGCTTATTTGACAAACTGTTTTGTTCTTTAAATAGGTGAATATTGGTCTCGTTACAACTTTTCGAATGATGAAGGAAATTGTTGGAGGATATGATAACATTGGTGCATCTAAGCAAGATTTCAAAAATTTTCATAGAGATTTAAAAGCATACATTCAAGGAAGCGATGCTCAAATGTTCGTGGATAATTTTACCAACAAAAAGCTAATGTGGAGTGCTTTTTTCTTTGATTTTTAGATGGATAAAGATTATTGCCTTTGTAGAGCACTGTGGGCAGACCCCCTTTGTAAAAAGAGTTATGCTCTATTTGGTGATATGGTATCCTTTGATACCACATACCAAACCAATAGGTAATATATAATCACAATTCATTTCTATGTTATAACTATAGCTTAACTTAATGACTTTGTTTTAAATGAACTTAGTATAATTGTTTGCTTATTTCAATGTGAAAAGTAAATATCCCCATAAGTCTAATTTTCTTTGATAATAGTATGTATATGGGCATTGAATTGCATGTTCATTTGACAAATGAGCATTGAATTATTTTGTCATTTGACAAATGAGCAAAGAATTGTTTGCTTATTTCACAAATGAGCATTGAGTTAATTATTTGCTCATTTGACAAGTGAGCATTCAATAATTTACTCATTTGACAAAAGAGCAAAAAAATTGTTTGTTTATTTCACAAATGAGCATTGAGTTATTTGCTCATTTCACAAATGAGCATTGAGTTATTTGCTCAATTGACAAATGAGCATTCAATTATTTGCGCATTCAATAATTTGCTCATTTGACAAAAGAGCAAAGAATTGTTTGTTTATTTCACAAATGAGCATTGAATTATATACTCATTTAAAATTTAGTCTGTATGTATAAACAGGTACAACATGGTGTTTACTCCATTTACAAGGGTTGACCATCATAAGAGCTGCATTACTTTTGGTGCTGGTTTCATAGCAAAGGAAGATATTTTGTCATTTGAGCGGCTGTTCAAGATCATTTTTCAAGGCAATGGGTGGGAATGAACCTAATTGTATGATCACGGATCAGGATCCAGCAATGAAAATAGCTGTTAAAAGTGTGTTTAAGAAGACTGAACATCGATTTTGTATGTGGCACATAATGAAAAAGTTACCAGATAAGGTGGAGAAATCAATCATGCAAGAAGAAACTGGTTTCCTAAAAAAAATATGTGCTTGCGTTTGGCATCTTGAAATTGAACCCGCTGAGTTTGAAGAAAGGTGGAACAAGGTGATGGTTGAATACCACTTGGAAGATCATGAGTGGTTAGGTTATATGTACAAGATAAGGGACAAGTGGATTCCAGCGTATTTCAGAGATGTGTTCCTTGGAGGAATAATGCGTACAACATCAAGATTTGAAAGTGAAAACAACTTTTTCTGCTCCTTTATCAATCCTCATGTGTCACTTGTTGAGTTTTACTTGAGATATGCAACTGCAATTGATGCCCAGAGACACACTCAAGGTCAGAATGATAATGATTCAAAGCACAAATATCATGAGTGCAAAACACCTCTAGGGATAGAAAAGCATGCCTTACATTTATATACTAACTCTGTCTTTTATGAATTTCAATATGAGGTTGAAATTTCTTTTTTTTCTTGTGGTGTTGATGAATTGAAGAAAGAAAATGGATTGGAAGTTGCAAAAGTGAAGGAAATCGGATTAGAACATTTGATGTTGTGTTTAATCCAACTAACTATGACACCACATGTTTTGCAAGCTAATTTATAGACAAGGTATTCCATGTAGACATATGATTTGGGTTTGGAAAGCAAAAAGGTTTGAAACCATTCCTGAGCAGTACACAGATGGACTACTATGGCACTAAAAAAAACCAATTTTTGACTTGGGTGGAAACCTGTTGGAGCAATGTGCTAATTTAATTGACAAAAAAAACTTGTTAAATGATTTATGGTCAGAAATACACACTTGTGTAAGTTTGGCAGAAGGCAATGATGAAGATATTCAAAATCTTGTGATAAATCTTCAAGGAATAAGAAAGGATTTGGAAGCTAAGAGGATTGCAAGAAATAATGAAACAACAGGAAGTGCAAACAACAAAGGACAAGACATTGAGCTATTGATTGCAGCTACTGTGCCAAATGAAATAATTCTCAAACCTCCAAAAATTTCAAAGAATAAAGGGACTGGAGTTCATGTATCAAATGAAGAGACTTCAAAAAAGAAAGGGGCTGAGATTGATGTGCCAAATGTTGAAACAAGAGGTAGAAGTGCAAAAAGGCTAAAGGGAGAAAAAGAAAAGGTTGTAGAACAAAACCAGAAAAAGAAGAGATTATGTAGAGGTTTTGGTGAATTGAGTCCTCATGATATTACAAATTGTCAAAAAAAAGTGTAATGATAACTTTATATAAATATAAGATTTAATATTTTTTGGCACATCTCCTCATTATTTATTAAACATTTATAAATTTTTTGTTTTAAATTTTGTTAATATTTTGTTGATTTTATATTTCTTAACAGAATCAATTACTTACTCATTTAGAAAATGAGCAATCAATTTTTTACTCATTTTGCAAATGAGCAAATATTTATTTGCTCATTTGTCAAATGAGCATATACTTAGTTGCTAATTTAACAAATGAGCAAAAACTTAGTTGCTCATTTATCAATTCAGCAACTAACTAGTTGCTCATTTGACAAATGAGCAACTAACTAGTTGCTCATTTGTCAAATAAGCAAAATGTATTTTTAATCATTCATTAAATAAACGAGCATTTCTTTGCTCATTTGTCAAATGAGCAATTTGTTCTTTGTTCATTTTTCAAATGAGTTAATTATTCTTTGCTCATTTGTCAAATGAGCAAATTGTTCTTTGTTAGTTTTTCAAATGAGCAAAAACTTAGTTGCTCATTTGTCAATTGAGAAAATAGTTAGTTGCTCATTTGTCAAATGAGCAAAGAATAATTTGCTCTACCCTTGAGCAAATAATTGTTCTTTGTTTATTTTCTCAAATAAGCAAATATTTATTTACTCATTTGTCAATTGAGCAAATAGTTCGTTGCTCATTTGCAAATCAACAAGTAGTTCTAATAAACAGTAGCTATAAATGACAAAGTATTTCAGGTAAACACAAAACATCCAATTTAAATATAACCAACACAAAAGTCACCATTTTTACATCATTCAAAAAATAACAATTTACAAGTTGATTAAATCATTGTTTCTCTACTTCCCTAAACTTAGAAAGCTATATCAACACCTTAATCAACACTACACCAAGCAAAATATTGAGGTTACACTAACAAGTAGCCTTTTCTTCTTAAGCTTTTTCTTCTTCAACTTTTTCTTCTTCACTCTTAACAGAAACTTTCTTCTGCCTTTTCTTCTTCTGAGGAATTTCTTTAACGGAATGAATTATGTTTATTTCACTTGAAATTATTGCCAAGGTGTACTTCACACGAAGTTTTTCTATGATTATCTCCTGTAAGAAATAGAAAAGAAAAAATAAAACAAGAAAAATTTAAAAAAATATAAATGCATGAAGGAGGGTGAAGCACGAAGTAGAAAAATAGAATAAGTAATAAGAAACCAAAATTCTGATTCCTTTACAGTTATTTTAAAAGAAAAGTAGCTTGAAATCTTGCTAAGAGCAATCAATTACTTGATATGCAACATACTTGATATGTAAGCCAAGACTATTTAAAAGTTCACTGGGTTCACTGAACTTTGGCTCAATTGCTCTACAGTTTATAGTCCAAGTTTTAGCCGAGTTGGAAAAGGGAAGGTGGATGACTGATGTGCAAGGTCACTCAGAACCATCTACTACTTATATTGGCCATAAACAGAATTCAATAAAAGAGGAAAATGTCATCATTAAAGCAAAGAATAATTTGCTCGTTTGAAAAATGAGCAAATAATTGCTTGCTCATTTGAAAAATGAGCAAATTATTTGCTCATGGGGATAGTGTATTGCAAATTATTTGCAATTTAACTGTATTTTATCTTGAATAGTGTATTGTAATCTCATGGTAATATTAGAAGTTGTGGAAATTATGTCCTGTTTTTTTAAATTGTTGAAATGTTAGTGCAAAGCCTCTACTTCAAGCTAAGAGAAAATAAACCAGAGTAGGAAGCTGCCTTAGTGTGCTACCTTCTCTGCTATGCATAAGCAGATGGAAGCTTGGAAGATTTCACTTATCAAGGATGCATAATCCACAGCCTAGAGCACTAGTTTAGTTCTTCTCTTTTTAACTAATTTAATGAGCTTACCAACTTTAAAATTGAAACTGTAGTGCTTCCTAAAGACCTTATATTTAACAGATGGAAACTTTACAATTTGTTCCTTTCTTGGTTAACTATCAAATAACAGTGCAGGAACTTTCACAAGAAGTCCAAGCACATGGAATCACTTATATAAGGAACTTGCAAAAGATGGTTAATGGCGATTGTTATCCAGCTACTCTATCAATTGTGTCGTTTTGTGAGAAAATATGTTCAAGCACAGAGATGCCAGTTTAAGCCTTATATTTAATCATATTAATTCAGTCAAATAATTGCTTTCAAATGAGCAAATTATTGGCTGCTCATTTGACAAATGAGCAAGATTTATTTAAACTTCTATTTAAGAATAATAAAAAAATAACTTGGTGGTGCATATAAACATACTAATATCCTTTCATTATCATGAATTTTCTTTATCATTTAAATTTTCACTTTACATGTCCATATTCCTATAAACTCAGAGAGTACTAGAAATTAACAAGTGAAAATTGTAGGCCTTGTAGCCAACCTTTTAAAGGCTTGGCACACACAAAATTCAATTAAGTCCAGCAAACAAGTATCTAAGGACATTCCATATAAGATGAAAGACTTACATTATTCTTCTTCAAACCTAAAGGCCACTTTGACAAACCCATGTATGTTTCCATAATCCTCATCAATGCAATTCCACAGTGCAAATGATTAATATCTGTAGACTTCCAAGGAGAATCAATTGCAGCATGCTCCATGCGCTTGATATCGCTTGACAACACAGAGCTCTGTACATTTCCTTCATATTGCATAAAATTGCAAAATGCACTTCTCTGAAAATAAACATGTCAAATGAGAAAAGATAATAGATATTTATAAAATCTAATCATTTTACTGAAATAAGCAAACATAATGTTAATAGAAATTAACTTTTAAACCGTACCAAATGTTTTAAAAGCTGTGTGTGATCTCCGGAATCTTCACTATAATCAATAACCTCGATATTACCATGCTCTGTGGTAGTGTTGAAACATACCAAGTAATAATGATCTCTTTCGTAAACTAGGAAGAAGAAAAGTTGAATGTCCTTCTTTGGGACAACAGTTTGGCTGTATAACTTCTCAGCAACCTCACGAAACATAGCATTCCGATGACTAACAGAATCAATCTCATAATGAACAAGACAATCCTACATGTTTTAAAAAAATATTTAATACAACAGGAATATTGTAAAATACTTCAATAAAACAAAATAAATTAAAGAATATGAACTTACAGTAGCAGTAAGATTAAAAAAGAAACGAGCAGGAGAACTTGAGTCTCTAAATTTCTCATTATAATTCAAAGTACTACACCAAGCATTAATGATTTCTAAATCAATTTTAAGGTGAGTATAAAGCTTTTCAAGTTGAAATCTCATGATTTAAACATCATCCTCTCCATTAACTTTGGATAAAAAATACTAGATCACTACATAAAGGAATTAAGAAAGTTAATATCACTAAAGCAAATGTGAATTGGTGTACAAGATAGCAAATTCTATAAAAACAATACTGACAAATGATTTTTATCATCATCAAACAGAGCTTCCAAGACACTTTTCTGAACTTCTGATAATGTAGAGTAAATGTTGATAATCCGTGCCTTAAAAGGTGATCTAAGCAGCATTGATGGTTGAACTTTACCCTTCTTTAAAACAGGAACATCAGCAGCACCTACAGCACAAGGAACATCAGCATCAGCAGCTACTAAAGGTTGTACAATAGTTGGGGAGTTCTCTAGATCATCAATATTTTGAGAATCAAATCCTAAACTGAAAGTAGGAGTTCCAAATCCTTTTTTAACTGAAGATCTCAAACCAAATCGAATACTTGAACCTCCTTCACCTTTTTCAGTTTCAACTACAATAGCAGGACCTTCATTTTCAGAAAGACTATTTGCTATTTGAACACTTTTAGCAGCAATCTTTGTAACATCAATGGCTCCTGTTACGGTTGGACAATCAGCCCTAGCAAAGACTGAGGATTCAACATTCTTCTCATTAGCTGAAATCTTGGAAAATCTATCCCAAGCTTCAATGACAGCTGGATCTTGCTAATACTCATCGTCTTGGCTAAAAGAAAAGCTATGATTTTTTGGCATAGCTTGAGAACTCAATCTTTGCTCGTCACAAATACCCATTGCATCTTCCTTCAACTTCCGTAGTTTCTCATTGTGAGGAAAATGCTTGACAGCTAGTTCATGTTTTTCATGAAAGTCCATGTATGCCAACACCAGCTTAGTCGAAGCTACTGCAAGATCCATTAGGCATTTCAAGAAAAAAGACATAAATAACATAAATATAAATCGAAAGACTAAATGAGCAAAAAACAAATCAATAGAAAAATATTTGCTCATTTGACAAATGAGCAAATATTTTTTTGCTAATTAGGAACTTCATTGATGCGCCATAATAGAGTGCCACATTGCATCATTATTCAACTGCTGCTGATACTCCACAATCCCAATTTTGTTAACCAAACTTCATGGAATAGAATTCAGAACATTGAGTCAGAACGGATGTCATTAAAAAACAAAATAAAATTAATATTAGATCTACATTGAAATATTAAAAATCATATAAATACCTTCTTTGGATATACTTCAACATCTTCGTTAGTTTGTGGAACAGTTTGAACGGATGTATCCTGAATACAAAAAAAAAAAAAAAAAAAAAAAATTCAGAATAAGTTGGGACCATTTGCAATGAAATCTAACAAGATTTGTTCCAATTCAATTCTAAAAGGCAGAAAAGCTAAGTATTGATTGAAAGTGAAATACCATTTTTTGGTTGTTTGTTGCGAGAAGGACCAACAACCTTAAGATATTTATCAAAATTCCAAGCCTCCCCTTAAAAATTTCCAATTTCTCACGACTAGACAACATATTGGTTGTCCATCCTTTGAGAACGGGAGTTTCTCGTTTGGCTCTGACTTCCTCAATGATAAACTGATCAACATATAAAAGCTACAAACAAGTAAGATAGAAAAAATTAGTACATTAAAATTAAACAAATAAATAACAGGTAATACATAAAAAATTAAAAAAAAACTTAGAAAATAACAGCCCCACCCCCTATTGCCACCTACCCACACAAACTTACCCACACATTGATCACAATTCTGATTTCAGAAACTAATTTCAAAATCTCATTTTTAATCTAATTACAAAATCTGATTTCAGATTCTATTACAGGTTGTGAGTTCGTGTATGTATGTGCATCTGTCTCTGTGTGTGTGTTTGTGTTAGTGTGTGTGTATGCATGCATATATGTGTGTCTGTGTGCGTGTGTATGTGTATTTATGTGTATGTGTGCGTAAGTGTGTCTGTGTTCTTGTTTAAGGAAGGAAGGGGGTTGCAGGTGATCCTGCTATTTTTCGAACAATAAAATGCAACAAAAAAAAATACCATAAGAAATAATAAAGATCCTGGAAAGTAGCGAGTAGGAAGCTCATCCCATTTGATCTTCGCCTTCAGAAGAGAATCAAGGATAAACTTCGAGCAATTTAAATCCTTGTTTTTAGCAACACTAGTCAAATATCTGAGAATGTCATGATTAACATTCTTGTTTTGTCCTCCTAACATAAAATAACAAAATTAAATCAAAATGATCAAACAAAAACTAAAATGAGCAAAATGAAAGTAAAATGAACAAAATGAACAAAATGAAATTAAAATGATAAAAATGAAAGTAAAATAAGAAATATGAAAATGAAAAGACTACCTTACATTAAAGTGGAAACACAAAGAACTACGAAATTGCGTTTGAACATTAGCCTAGCTGATTTATGGTCCTTCAAATACATTGAAAGCTCCCCAATGTTCACAGATAATGAGTTCTTTGGGAACTATTTTTACCATTGGTTAATAACTTTATCATCCTTTGAAAAAACATTAGCATCTATCTCTATGCCTCCAGCTGGCAGCCCTAGGACCTCTTGTACATGTTGTTCCGTAATTTTTAAAGGTTCGGAATCAGGAATATTCAACGTACAACTATGAGCATCAAAGTGCTTGACCAACCAAAAACCCAATTGCAAAGGCAGTTGGGACACTTTCAAAAAACTCCAAGGACCCAAATCCTATAGCTCTAATCGCAATCAACTGATCTTCATAAAACTCCTTAAAAACATTAACGACATATGAAGGTGACATCCTATTACGCAACGTCCCATAAACAACACATTTTGATTCCTGCACTTCATCAACAGTATCTTCACCGTTTGGATCCTCAAACATCACATTATGCTTTTCTTTCACTCTTTTTTCAACCTTTTTTCCTTTACCCTTAGTAGCAACTACTTTGATTTTCTTTTTCTTCATTTCACTGATCTTTTCTTCTGCCACTAGAGCCCCTGATGAACCAACATCAGCAACAGCCCGAGATGAACCAGCCTCGGGAGCAGCCCTTGATGAACCAGCATTGGTAGCAGCCCCTGATGAACCAGCATCGGCAGCAGCCCCTGATGAACAAGCATCGGTAGCAGCCGCCCCTGATGAACCAGCATTGGCAGTAGACTCCTTTTCAATAGAATTCCTACTGATACAAAATCATAAAAAAAAGTCAAATATCACATAGATTTAACGAATAAGAAAAAACATAGATGCTCATTTGTCAAATGAACAAATAGTTAGTTGCTCATTTGTGAAATGAGCAAACATTAGTTTGCTCATTTGGGAAATGAGCAATCAGTTTTTTGCTCATTTAGAAAATAAGCAAATAGTTATTTGCTCATATGTCAAATGAGCAAGCATTTCTTTAATAATTCATTAAATCAACAAGCATTTAATAAGAAAACATAAAATAAGGAAATAAGAAAACACGTAAATTATCCTTTCCAAATATACATCTGTATAATCTTTAGCATTGTTACGATCAGTAGCAACAGAAGAATTCATAGTAAATTGATACTCTTCACACTAAAAAGGATAATGTAGGAACCCTTCACAGTTGTTAGTTATCACTTACAAATTGATACTCTTAACACTGAAATATATCATAAAAGAAAAAATGGTACTCTGTATACATATAACATTTTTAGTGTGATCCTAAGCTCTCTTGAACATTTCAATATACCAATATAGTATCAATCAACAAACGAAGATAAGGCGCTCCTAGAGCATTTTATAACCGTTTTCAAGCACAAGAATAAAAAGACGAGCAAGTAATTACCTTAAAGCTACTCTCTTCATTTACATAATTTCGGTCATTGGATGTTAAGATAATTACACCTTCTGACTTCCAAAACTCAATCTAATTCTCTTATAAACTATTGGTATTAGAAATAGCCTTCACCAAAACACACATTTCATTATCACAAGTATTCATTTGTGTGCAAGATTATACTATTAAGTATTGGGTGTACTTAAACAGCTAGACCAGAAGTATAATGGATACTCTCTCATGAACTCAAACATCCCGAACTCAATTTAGATTGCATAATGCAGATAATAGTACACATGGTAAATTCATCGCTGTATAATCCTTTGCAATTTGTAAATATATAAATATTCACTAAACTGTTGCCAATACATATTACATGAACATCCCATATATTGTTTTATGATTATTTAATTTTGACAGAGAAAAAAATATGTCCATTTTCACATTTTCAATTTTGCATCCAAAATAATACAAAGTATAAAAGGATTTTTAACAAAAAGACTCTGAAATTAGAAAATTTCAATTTTATAGTTCTATACTAACAATTACGATAAAGGGTTGTATAAACAAAAGTAAAATTAGCAACAAAATATATACTTGTATAACTTAATTATCAAAATCACATTAAATTTATAGCCAATAGTTCGATAATTCGAACGCTAAATTAGCCGACTATACTGACCATTGATTAGATTAACAATAAACCCAAGATTGTTAAATTGAAATTCAATAATTGTACAAAAATATATAGCTCGCCTCAGAAACTGGTTTAATGGATGAGAGAAAGCTCGGTAGGCACTTCAATGGAGGAAATAGAGGATGGAGGCAGACGAGGAACGGTTTTGAGGGAAAAGTAAGAGGAAAAATCACACCCATAAAAGAACAGAGATAATTAACATTAATGCTTGAACACGACTGGTATGTGACTAGATTCAAATAAATCAAGCCAATCTCTTGTTACTCAGTCAATAAGAGCAACCAGACATCAACTATTACTTAATGACTAAAAAATAAGAACAAGAAAACCTAATCAAC